AAACCCTGAAAAAAGTGTTCTTCCAAATAAGACATGCATGTCTACGTGAGGCCTGTGACTTAAGACTCCAGTCAGCAGGGTCAGCACCTCCACCTGCTAGAAAGGCTGGCCTCTGCAAGGGGGAGAAGACAGCAATTATCACCTGTGGGTAAGGACACGGAGGGCAGGGAGCTGGGGGGGGGTGTTAAAGTGAGCCAACAGAGAATCCTGGCTCCCGGGTGTGGCCGAAGGGAGCGAAATTGGGATGTGGGTCCTGTGGGTCCTGCAGTCCCTAGCACCGCAGTGTTAGCTGCTGTTGCCCCGAGGGATAAGGAGACTTCCACACACATCATCCCACCTTTCGAAAGGAGGTGCAGCTGGGGGACACTGTCAGTAAGCTTGTCAGAAGACAAGCACGGTGCCTTTCTGCTTATAGGATGAGTCTAAGCAGCAGACCCAGAAGCAGAGCAGAATGCAGGCTGCAGAGGCTGGGGAGGGAGCCAGCCGGAGCAGTCAGTTATGTGAAGGAAACCAGTCCTGGACTTACGCTTACAGCCGGTGCCCGCAGGGAACAGAGCTGTGTTGTGTACTTAAACTTATGCTGTCGGTAGCTTTTAGGTTAAATGTTCTTTCATGCAACAGGCACAGAGGCAAGAAGAGACTGGAGGCGGTGGCAGTTTCTGGTGTGGCTGTGGTGTGGGGTGTGGAGCAGTGCTGACATCCAGACACATCAGGTTGCATGTTAAATGTGGACAGCGTGTGGTACGGCAACCATGCCTCTGTGAAGCGACTTCTAATTTAAAGGATCAATAGCTGGCTGTGGTAGGTCATGCCTGTGGCCCCAGCCGCGGGGAGGTTGAGGCAGGAAAATCAAAAGTTTGCTGCCAGCCTGGGCAGCACAGCAATTTGGTGAGATGCTGTCGGAAAGAATAAGTATAAATTAAAGAGGGGCGGGGCTGTAGCTCAACGTGAAGGCCTGGGATCAGTCACTGTTACAGTACTGGGTGCCCACCCCGAAGGAGTAAGCAGAGTGAAATGGAGATTGTTTGAGTAATAGCTTTTGATGCCAGTGGTGGTGGTTTGAAAGTGAAAGAAGGGGGAGAGTCTTACAAAAGTGTTGTTGATTTTGGTTTTCTGTGTGAGAGTTTTAAAAGTCCATGCCTGGGGAGTAGCTGTTTCCAGCACCTCTGCGGAGGGGTCCTGTCTGCAGCAGGCATGGGAAGAAAAGCAGCAGGTGTGGCGCGGTGGCCACTGACTTGTCTCAGGCTGTGCTCCGTGGCACGCTGCAGACAGAGAGCTCCTGGGCTCTCCTGGGCCAGACACGGTGGGGGTGAGGCAGTGTGCAGTGCCCTGCCTCCCAGAAAGTCTCCAGGCCTGGGGCAGAGTATGGCAGAGCAGTCCTGGTGTGGAGCTGTCCTGTCTGCCCTGCCTCGCAGAGCTTTGTTCTGTTCTGCGTTGGTGCCGGGGCTGAGCGCAGGGACCTGTGCCTGCGGGGTGAGCAGCCACAGCTGAGCGCGCAGACCCTGGCCGGAGGCAGCTGGGCCCTAGGCTGCTTTCTGCAGAGGCTTAGTGGGAGCGTAGGTAGCACACGTCAGAACAGACGAGTGGACCAGGAGAGCAGACCGCGCAACAGGTGCCACCCTTCACTGGCGATTAATCTTGACAAAGGGCCAAAGACAGTCAGAACAGAACAGTCTCATTGGGAAAGGGTGTTGGAAAAACTGGTGTCCGTGCACAGAGTGAGATTCGGCCTTTATCTCTCACCATATTAAGATTCAGCTCAAAATAGGTGAAGAACACCTGAGTCTCTCCCGAAGCTCACAGCCCGGAAGCTTTGGGATTTTCTGCACTTGAGACTCCACAGCCCAGAGACTCCACGGCCCGAGCTGCAGGAGGGGTGGAGTCTGGCGTAGGGCCGGAACAGGGGACATGTGTCGGCTGCAGGGGTGCTGTCCAGGCATGCGGGGCCGGGCCGCTCCTGGGGCCAGGTGCACACCTGGCAGAGGCGCCTGGTGTTTCCTGCAGATCGCGCGGAAGCTTCCATGAGGTGAAGGGCAGGACACAGTGCCTGGGCCCCTGGGGGCAGGGAGGCTTTGGCGCCACCGCTGGGGTGGACCTTGGTGCCACTGCTGTGGAAAGCAGTGTGGTGGGCTCCGGAAACCCGAGGGTGTGCTCTGTCCATAGACGATCAGCACTGTGTACAAAGCAGCTACTTTTTGGTAGCAAGGATTGAACTCCGGGAAACACATCTCTGGCTGTCTTTTTCAGTTTTCTCATGGGACAGGGATCTGGCTAGCAGCCCAGGCCGGCCTTGCACTTGCTGTCCTCCTGCCTCGGCCTCCTGAGTAGTGAGATTACAGGTGTGTGCCAGGCCTGGCTCCGTCGCACCTTGCACTTGGGCCTTTATGTGGCTGAGAGTTGCCTTCCTGTCATAAGGTAGACAGGTGACCCTCCTGTGGCCTATTTGGTACCATTTTTTAACATCTCTTTTTTATTTTAAAGAGGAGAATAATAACAGTGTATAAAATTTCAAAACAATATTGTAGGAGAGTGACAGTGTTCAGCACATTGTGCATTGTTGTCTTCATAGTAGTTGCAGGATTTACCGATGTGGCGGTTCTGTTCTCCTGGGCCCACGCCCCAGTGCAGGCTGGCTGGGTGTGCCTCTGGGGAGATGCGTGTGCCTGTTCCTGCAGGCCCTGAGTAGGTGTGCGCTCAGGGCTTCCCCTGCCAGTGCGGTCAGTCAGACAGTCAGCTGCCCACTGGGGCAGAGGAGCATGTAGACATGGCAGTGCTGGTCGCCTTGTGAGTCTCTTGTCCTGGAGGCAAACGCCCACAGGAGCAGTGGTGTCTGGTGCTTCAGTGCTCACGGCAGCCAAATGGTGCTTCCCTGTGTTTGTGGAGTACCAAGGGCAGCAGTCCCCGGCATAGAGACATGGGGCCTTCTGATCCCTTCATCTTGGCTTCCTTCTGCCTCGTGGATGGGCTGTGCTTCTTCGTAAGTTTAGCAGGGTGGTGAACACTCTGAAGTAAGGTCACCGATTTTGAGCCACAGTTTTTAGTTTGTGTAGTCCCTTACAGTAGCATAAAATATTGTTATCAATATATTAAGTTGTAAGTTATTTATAAAGTCAGTGATAAATGAAGTTGAGTTGTGGGCTCCACATGAAACTCTTCAAAATTGACTGTATTGTATCAAACAGTACTATTCTCGACTCTGTGGCAAGCCTCTCTTCTGCATAAATTCAACTCTTATGATGGTGTAAAAGAAGGCAATACAGAAAGTGTGAGCATGGCTGTTTCAATAAAACTTTATTTATGAGCATCATATTTGGCTTGTAGGCTGTAGTTTGTTGATCCTTGATTTACTCTAATGCTGACGACAATGTATCATATTAGAGAAATACCACTTCTGAGTTTGCTGGAAGACCCATAAGCCACTGCAACAACAGTGATGCTCCCCATAACTGTACCTCTCTGTTGCTGTCCAGGCAGTGCTGATGCCCCAAGAGGGCATGGATAGGTCCCAGGCACTGTGGCACTGCCCTCAGTGTAGCCCAAGTGGGTGGCAGCCTCGAGAGTGAGTTCTTTTTGGGGACAGGGAGCAAGGCTTGGAGAGGCAAAGGGCTCGCTTGTTGCTGCAGAATTAGGAAGTGGCGCACCTGGCCAGGTCAGCCCACCCCACCCCAGTTTTGCCTGGCAAGCAGCAGTTTGCCTGGCCTTTGCTGTCTGACGGTGTACTGGTTTGGGGATGTGACTTCCAGCGTTGCTCAGATTTTCCAGGGAAGCATTCAGGTAAGGCGCTGGGTGCGGTGGCTTTAGCTGACTCTTTAGTCGCTTGGAACCTGCTCCTTTGCACGTCCTGTGTAGCCCGAGAGGGGCCTGAAGATGCGTGAGCGTTGCTGCTTCACTCTGCTGGCGGGTTGTATCTGTGCATCCGGTTTCTTTCCTTTTATTTATTTTTATTTTGAGTATTGTATATATATATATATATATATATATATATATATATATAAAACTAGTACAATATATTGTACTAGTTTTATTGAGAAACAAATAGCAGTGAGACAGTTTCAAATCCAATTAGTAGGACAGTTTCAACAATACATTGCATATTATTGTCTTAGTGGTTACTTATTGTACAAGATGCAGACATGATATCCTGTCCACAAACACTATTAGAGCAAATCTTTCTGTTCATTCAATTAAGAGAATGTAGCTGTATATCTACATAACTATTTTGAATATACAGATACAAAATGGCTGTTCATTTGTATCCCCTTTGTTTAGTTTTGTTGAGAAGGGCATTCCATTGCCGTTTCTTCCTTTCCTCTTATCCCAGGCAGAGGGAAGGTGGGAAGGCCTTGGTCTAGGGCTCACAGCACCACACAGAGCAGAGCCTTGCCTGGGAGACCTTCGTGACCAGCCAGCCCGGAAGGAGCAGTGCTGTCTCTGGTGCAGCCCATGGGTTGAGCAGAGAACAGGGCCTTGGAGCAGCGCGAGGCCATTGTGAGCACTGAAAGAACGGGCTTCCGGCTTCAGAGTGTGGATAACTCGCTTTGCTGTCGCACTGCCCTCCTGCTCCCCTCTGTCTGTGCTTAGCTCTCTGTACCTGATCAGCTTTTTATTCTGATCTAGCATTGACAGATACAATCAGGATCCCCAAATAGTGACGTTTTTAAAGCTGAAGGTGACAAGTCTCCTGCTAAGTGGTCCCTCTGTGAGTGTTGAAAGGGGCGGTCCTGGTAGGTGCTGTCCACAGCTGCCTGCCTGCGGGGTGGGCTGGGGTGAGGCCCTCAGCCACCCACTGCTGAGCCAGGTGCAGGACTCTGCAGGTAGCCCGCATCTGCATCTCGGGAGAGGCAGGGAAGGTGAAGCTTGGGGCATATCGCGCGTTTTGTTATGGCCAGCCGAGGGGGAGGCAGGAGGTGCTGGGTAGAACAGCTCGGGCCAGCCCAGAAGGGCAGGCACCCGGGGCCACAGCTTGGCTGCTTCTGAGGGTGTGTGCTTCTGCCTTACAGCCTTCTCCTGCGCCTCTGGAGAGTACCTGGAGATGCGGAGCCAGGTGTGCAGCAAGTGTGCCGAGGGCTCCTACTCCCTGGGCAGTGGCATCAAATTCGACGAGTGGGATGAGCTGCCCGCGGGCTTCTCCAATGTGGCGACCTTCATGGACACGGCGGTCAGCCCCTCCGACAGCAGGCCCGATAGCTGCAGCAAGTAAGTGGCCTCCTGGTTGGGAGGGCCATGAACGCGAAGGGGAAGGTGGCAGAACAGGCCTGGCCTTGCAGAGGTGCGCTGGTGGGCAGAGCTTACAGACCAGGTGCCTTCTGGTACCTTCACGAGGAGGCCCCGGGGGAGTGTGGAGCCAGGCTGGCCTTAGCGTCCTGCAGCTTCGCTGGTTAGTAGTGCTTCTATGAGCCTTCCTACAACTGCTAATGGGTAGTTTCAGGGTTTTTCCTGAAAGGAAGAGTGCGTCGCCCTCACCTGGACCCGATTGTCCTGTGAGGGAGGGGGTCGGCCTGTGGAAGCGCTCTGCTGGTTGCTGGGGGGTTGCTGGCCTTCCCCTGGCAGTGCTGCTGCAGGGTGTTCCCTGGTGCGAGGAAACAGCTTCCCTGGGCTGCTGCTTCCCGTTCTCCTGTGGGGGCTGCCGGAGAGGCCTGGACCCCAGGCCCGGGCTGCCTCTGACCTGAGTGCCCTCGCTACTCCCCTCTTCCGCTAGGCCCAGGGGAGTGCGGACATGACCTCCAGTTCCTAGCCTGCCTCTGCTACCGCCTGCCCCTCCTCCTCCTCCCTGCAGTGACAGGTTTCCGTGTGTCGCTTGCTGACTTCTCAGGGTTTTCTTATCCAGACAACCTGAGACTGGGTCACACACAAGGCAAGAGCTGTTTCGGGCCACAGTTTCGCAGTTCTGAGAACTCGGGTTCCGTCAGGGCTCTGCAGGTACACTAGTTCATTCAAGAATCTGGCCGGGCCAGGCCACCTTCCAGTCACCGCAGTGTGAGCACACACCTGCCGTGTGCTCTAGAAAGCAGCTCCTCAGCAGCTGCCTGGTAGGACACCTGGCCCTGACGCTTGCTCTGGTGGAAGGAGACGTTCATGTGGCTTCTTTTTTTTGCCTGGAGTAGCTGCTTCATAAGGAAGATGATCGATGAGCAGGAGGCTTCTACCTGGCATAATTGTCACAATGGACATCTCTGATCTTGTTTTCTTTCTTCCTTTTTTCTACCACCCCCCTAAACTTACATTCTCCTCTAATTGCTTGTGTCATATAGCAGATTTAGTCATGGAGCCAGAAGAGTCGCTGTATGCTGCAGACATGAGTACTGCTGTATAATGTGTACTTGTACTACGTGTACACACATGTTTGTCCATGTGTGCTGGTTCCTCCAAGTCTGTGGTTTTGCCAGTTTTCCCTCCCCCTCCTCCCTCCCCTGTCTTCTCTCCCTCCCCTCCCCTCCCTCCCTTCCCCTGTCCTCCTTCCCTCCCCTGTCCTCCCTCCCTCCCTCCCCTCTCCTCTCTTCCATCCCCTCCCCTCTCCTCCCTTCCCTCCCTCTATTCCCCCTCCCCTGTCCTCCCCTCCCCTCCCTCCCTCCCCTCTCCTCCCTTCCCTCCCTCTATTCCCCCTCCCCTGTCCTCCCCTGTCCTCCCTCCCTCCCCTCTCCTCCCTTCCCTCTCTCTATTCCCCCTCCCTTGCCTCCCCTCCTCTCCCCTCCTCTCCCCTCCCCCTTCCCTCCATTTCCTCTCTTCCCCTCCCCTCCCCTTTCCTTCTCTCCCCTCTTCTCTTCTCATCCTCTCTTCTCCTTTCCCCTTTTTCCTTACCACCGTGCTTGGGATTATACAGAGGGCCTTCTCATTGAACTGCATCCCCAGGCCTGTTTTGAAATCATTTTAACTTTGAGACAGCCTCTAACTGAGTCACCAAGTTTCCACCTTGGCTCAGTTGTGACCTTCCTGCCCCAGGCCACTCCAGTGCTGGGATTATGGGTGTGCACCACTACTGGGGGGTTGCCTGTTTATTTTGAGGATGTTCTTTAGTAAGCAGAAGTTTAATCCTTAAAAGCTACAATTCCCCATTGCTTTCTGTCAAGGCTAGTGTCTTACATGTTAGGGTGTCTTCGCCTTCCTGGGCTGTGACGGCTGGCGTGCTGGTGGCTGCACTGTGCCTGCCGTGTGAAGTGCTGGTGGCTGCGCTCTGCCTGCCGTGCAGCGACGTTGCCTCCTACATCGCGACTCTGCACCTGCTCAGGTGCACGTGTGCCCTCACCCCCGGGATATTGTAGTTTGTGTAGATGTGGCATATGCCCTGCAGTGTGATGATACTGTTTTTAAAATTGCTGATTGTTTAAGAATTAAGCTTAACAAGATGTAGGGACCTAAAAACCATCATTTGTAAGACTTCAGTTCTTACGGCCGTGGCTCGCTGGATAACCAGAGGAGCAAGCGCCGCTCTGCATGCTGGTCTCCAACCGGTGTTGGTGCTGTCTTGCTTTCTGTATATTTGCAGTGTGTGTGTGTACACTTAGAAATAAAATGCATGGTGTTTTGAAGAACAGTTTTACTCAAGGCAGTACTGGTCACCGTGTTGGTGATCCAATTTTTGATGAAAAATAGCAATTGTATAGCAAATGGATCACATAGCCTTACCAACGAAGAAGTCGTGTGCCGTAAGAGTAAGGCTCTGCTAGCGGTCAGCACTCACTTCTGGGGCGCTGCAGCCTGGTCGCTCTGGCCGTGTGCTGCTGCGGAGCCGCCGGAGTCTGCTTCAGGGCTGAGGCCCGCAGTGAGTGGGCCCTCGGTGCCGCGCTCGGCGTGAGCCCTGCCTGGTGTCTCCACAGCTCCTCCTGGACCCCTCGGGGGAGCTACGTCGAGTCGAATCGCGATGACTGCACAGTGTCGCTGATCTATGCCGTGCACCTGAAGAAGTCCGGCTACATCTTCTTTGAGTACCAGTATGTCGACAACAACATCTTCTTTGAGTTTTTCGTAAGGTTTTTCCTATTCTTGATGTTCTTTTCTCTTCTTTCTTCAGTTCATAGTTGCAGCTGAGATGTATGCAATGATCATAGTCATCATCGGGAATTCCTTTTAAGGGACATTCATGGAAATGTCCCTTCATCATTGCGTTGTACTTTATGCCTCTGTTTGACATTAAAATAAGCTAGCTTTCCTGTGGTGTCAGTCTCCTGGCCGTCCACACTGTGTCCTGGGCTGTGCTTGCTGGGTGGTGGTTCGGCTTAGACTGTGTGTAGCTAAGATTCAAGATTCATTTTAAATTCATTTTTATGGCTGTAAATGCCATTTTGTTAAAAATACTTTCACTAATTTTAGTTTTTATTTGAAATGTTTTCTTTTTCTTGGCAATCACGGGCAGAGTGGCGGCCTGCTTCTCTCTGAGTCTCATGAGGTCCAGAATGGTCAGGGGTAGTTGTTCCTCCTGGCCTAACAGCACATAGCACAATACAGGACGCAGTAATAGGCCCACAGAATAGCCACTGCCTGTGCTGGTTAGTCACCGTAACCTGTGCCTAGCTGAGCAAATATTTATCGTGGCGGTGACTTCAAGGCTTAAAAATGTTTTCAGATTGATTTCTCACACCGGACACAGTGCGTTGTGACTGCCTCAGAAATGAGAATGTCTGAGTCAGCGGTAAGTGTGAAGAGGTTTTTCCACAACAGTCGGAGCCTCAGGCTTGAAGCTCACAGATTCTGGGCCAGGTCCCCCTTGGGACTGCTGGCTGTGTGTCACTGAGCAGGGAGGCCCCACTCCCAGTCCCTGGCACTCGCCCTGTGCTGCCAGGGCCCTTGGCATTAACATCCTTTGAGGGTTTAGGTAGCGTGCAATCATATGTACTTTTTTTTTCTTTGAGATAGGATCTTGCTGTGCAGCTCAGGCTGGCCTTGAGCTCACTTTGTAGTCAGATGAGTCTCAAGCTCACAGAGATCCTCCTGCCTCAGCTTCCCACATGCTGGGATTACAAGTGTATACCACCATGCCTGCCCCATATCTACTTTTAAGTTCCATGTATTTACGCAACACTTCTCCTCTCGGGACATGTCAATAGTGTCACTAAGACTGTGGCAGCCAGCTAGCTGCCTCCCAGTGCTTAGAGTAAGTACTTAGCTCGGCGCTGCCCAGCGCGCCCCTGAACGCTGACTGTGAGGCACTGTCCGAGCTAAGGTCTGGGCTGCCATCTCCTCTCAGGGGCACTGCAGTTCTTCTGCAAGCAGTAGGAAAAGGGCCGGGAGGCGGATTCTGCCCCCCTTTGTTGGCACTCTGCCGGCTGTGGTTCCACATTTGGGGCCAGCACTTCCCAGTTTCTGACTTAATGGTTAGCAGAGGGAGGGCTGGGAGGGCTGGGAGCTGGAGCTGTGCTCTGAGGATTAGAAGACAGCGTCGTCGTTAACTTCGAGGGTATTTAGTTTCACAGCTGTGTGGACTTTTATTCATCCACACTGTTTTTTTCCTAAATTGTGAAACTGAAATCTAGAGAGAATAAGGGCTGGGACCAAGATACACCTACTTTTGTTTCAGAACAGTAGTGGACACAGATCTTCAGAAGGATGGGTCTGCAAGGTCCTGAGTTTAATTCCTGGTACCACAACAAAACAAAACAAAAAACAACCTCCCCCCAGAAGGATGGAGTGACCATGTCAGGACTTGGTGGTAGCCAGCTCCCAGCTTACAATGAGGTGTTTGCTTGGGATTCGGATGCTTGGGTGGTCCTCGTGCTTGGGGTATGAGGTGGGCCACGTGGAGATATAGTAAATATCCTCAGGAGCAGATGTTCTCTGGTGTCTGGGTGGTTGTCTCGGTTACTCTTTTCTCATTGCTGGGACAAATATCTGACACTCAAAGTGACAGGAAGGAAAGGTTTATTTAGCTCATAGTTAACTGCAGACTTTAGTCCATACTCGGCTGGCTCCAAGGCAGACTGGCACATGGCAGAAGGCAGCAGCAGTTCATGGTGGCAGAAGGCAGCAAAACAGCAAGAGCAAGAGGGAGGAATAACAGCAACAATGGCTACAGAGAGCAAGTCTGTCTGTCTCTCTTATGTTACCTTCAGGCGTTCCTCAGACCCATAATCCCAGCCTTGGATCATGAATTAATCACAACTGTAGAAGCCCGCCTCAATGACTGCATGAGGTTTTGGTGTGACAAATACACACAAACCATAACAGTGGCAAAAGGACTATTCCAGCATGTGTTTAGATAGTGTTTCTCTCAGAGACATTTTCATGTGTGCGAACTGGTCATGGCATGAGGAAGGCAGCAGAGCAGTTCCGAGATGAGTGACTGTTTCAATGACAGAGCACCGGTGATGTGAACCTTCCTCTGCCACTGTTTTGCAGAAGCAGAAGGATGGCCTCACTTTTCAAAGTTTTTCTGTTCTGTGTCAATGTAGAAAAGTAGCATCCTGAGCCCTGGGCATCTTGGAAGAATTCCTGGGACCTCACTTAGAAGGTGTTTGACCCTGAGGATATCTGTAGTGATTGGAAATGGCAAGCCAAATGATTAACATTTATCCACAAATAAAAGATCAGTACTTTTGGCTGGGGAGATAGCTTGGCAGTCTAAGTGCCTTTCTGCAAGTGCAAGGACCTGGGTTCGATCCCCAGTACTGCATGCCATGCCGGCCCCAGAACAATGGGTGCGCTGTGTTAGCCACAGCAACTGGCTGTGGTGGTGAATGCCTGTAATCCCAGCGCTGGGGAGACTAAGACAGGAGGATCACTATAAGTCTGAGCTGTGTAGTGAGAACCACATACAAAAAAAATCCCTGCTTAGATTTTCACTGCAGCCACTCACCATTTAAGTCCTTAGGAATTGGAGCAAATCCCACTTTACTGACTCAAAAGTTTGCTGCCACAAAGATGAAAGTCACCCACATTTATTTTTATACTGTTGGGCTTACATGGTGACTACAAGCTGTTAAAGCTCACAGGTAAGTTGGGGAGGTTTCCGTGATGACTTTGGTGATAGCTGTCCCTTCTCTCTGCAGCGGTCTTGCTTTTTGTTATGACAGTGATGTGGTTGGTTGGGGTCGTGCACCGTGTGCAGTTGTCACTTGCGTTGAGATCTGGGTGTGCACACGGGGGGAGGGGGGAGCAGAGGCGGCAGCTGTGCTTTGCGAGCTCAGGTGTGCTCCCCTGTCAGAGCTTCACTGGGAACCTTGTGTTTGACCCGCAGATTCAGAATGACCAGTGCCAGGAGATGGATGCCACCGCCGACAAGTGGGTGAAGCTCACGGACAGTGGAGAGTGGGGCTCGCACTCTGTGAGTTCCTTCTCCTTCCCTTCCCCACCATCTCCTTCTGCTTGGTTCTTGTCTTGACATCTAAGCATGCATTTAATTTAAGAGAAGGGCAAAATTTCCTGTTGGCTAAGGGCATCTCCATTTAAAGAAGTTGCCCCTAAGTGTCATGAGCTCAGATTACCTTCTGTAGCTTATTTTTCAGACCTCATCTTTCCTGAGATCTTCTTCCCTTCCCTTTCCCACCAAACCCTAGCTCTCCTCCCCTTGGTACTAAAGGAGCACTGGCGAGAGAGGAGGCGTCTAGGATGGACACGGTGCCACAGTTCATGTGTGTGGGTTTCCAGATGTGCCCAGCAAGGGTGGCAGCACCAGGGGCCCTTGACCCTGGGAAGACCTTTGAATTCTCTTCACTGTGGTGCCCAGCAAGGGACTTGCAAGCTTGTTTTGTTGAGTCCTGCGTGGCCTCGTTGGCCAGCTGGATTCTGATGCAGCTCTCCCCTTTGGAGCCCCGACATTTGCTCCCACCGGGCGAGACCCTGCCTCTCGGCCCCCAAATGGAAGGGCCCTGTGAGCCTGTTGTTTTCCAAGGTGTCCTCTGGAGGAGGACGCGGATGTAAAACCCAGGTCCACCCACAGCTGTGTTTCTCTGGGTTGTGTGTTTCTCTCTCTGCGTCGGATGGCCTTCATCTCCGGATGCAGCGATCTTGCGGGGTGGGTGGCATGGTGTCTGGGCAGGGCCTGGAGTGGCGCCTGGAGGGTAGCCTGAGCTCGGGCCCAGTGAGGGACGACCTCCCGGCCCACGCGCAGGAGCAGGGCCGCCCTGGCGCCTGAGAGAGCGCATGGGCCCTCTCAGAGGCCTTGCTCTCGGCTCACCATTTAGGGTCCGCTCACCCGGGCCTGAGCGGGGCGGGCTCCAGAAGCACCGGGCCCTAGCCTACAGACACGCGGCGGGGAGGTGCTGCGCGCTGCTTGTCGGTCTGGACGGGCGCTGCAGGACATGCTTCACCTCTGGCCAGAGCCCCGCGGTGGAGTAAGGTGGCAGAGGAGAAGGCCGGGCGTCCTTGAGATGGCTCGCTCGCTCACTCACCATCAGGACCCGCTAGCTGCCTGTGCGTAGAAGACTGCCCCCTGGTGGACAGCGCTGGACGTGCAACCTGAGCCCAGAGCGTGAGCGAGGCTGCAGTCGCTGACCCGGAGCAAAGCTCTCTCCGGGTTGCTGTAGGATGGATTTTAAGAGAAGCCCTAGGTTTTTCTCCTTTTTAGTTAGGATGGGCATACAGCTACTTTCTCTTAATTCAATGAGAAGAAAGATTTGTACTAATACTGTTTGGACAGGATATCATGTCTACATCTTTCTTGTACTATGAATAACTACTAGGAAGACAACAATATGCAATGTATCAATTATTTTAATTGTCTGACTAACCTGTTCTTAAACTGTCTCATTGCTATTTGTTTCTCAAAATTAATTAATTAAAAAAAAGAGAAACCCAATTAGTGAGGGTGGAGGCCTGAGTCACGGGGTCTGTGTGGCTCATCCCCTGGACGTTCAGGGCCTGGACAGGGCCTGGAGGGAGCAGTCATAGGAGACCAGGCTTCAGGGCTCCTCGGGCAGGCCTCCCATCAGCCCCGCCACTGGAGAAACACCGGTGCAGAGGTCCAGAAAGGGCCTTCCGGAGCCACCTCTTAGCCGAGCGAGCCACTCCAAGCAAGACCTTCCGGAGTGGTCCGCATCGTTTCCTGTTTGCTCAGCTGAAGGGCGTCCTCTTCCTTACTCCACAGTGTGGACTGGTACTTCCTTGTGGAAGCGTTGCATTCAGTGCAGCTTCAGTTATGAACAGACCTGTCTGGGTTCTAAGTCAGTGATTTTTCATCATAATACACAGGGGAATCGTATGAGAGTAGCTTTGATGCGGTGAAGCAGAAGGCTTCCTTAGCGCGCTCTCATGTCTTTCCCAGGTGATGCTGAAGTCAGGCACAAACATCCTCTACTGGAGAACCACAGGCATCCTCATGGGCTCCAAGGCAGCCAAGCCTGTGCTGGTGAAGAACATCACCATTGAAGGTCAGCAGGCACTGTCCAGGTGACGCTGAAGACATTGCTTAGTGTGGCCCACCTGACCCACAGGTTCAGTGGATAAGAAATAGCACACACGGGTTCCTGCAGGCGAGAGACTTGAGCTTTATTTCCAGCAGGTTCATCATTTATTTTCCTGTCCCTCATACCCTTGACCTGAATTATTTAATCTGTGTAAAGACGTAAGTGTGGCGGTAATTTTAGACGTCTTACAGTAGAAGTGTCAGTGTGTGTAAGGCCTGCTTCACAGTCCTGAGCTGTCTGTGGTGCCAGGCACCAGCTTGCTCTGAATGGACGCCGGCTCACCGTGTGCCATAAAGGCCAGCACAGGGACTGGGCCCTGCACCACTTTGCCCCTGCTGCGGGCTCCTTTTTGGCCCACGGGGCAGCCCATCAATCCTGGCTGGGTTCATCCTCAGTTAGAGGCGCTTTTAACTAAAGTAGTGAGTCTTTTTTGTTGAAGTTTACTTCTATCTTAGTATGTCTGAGAGTTTATTCCTGCAGTGTTAGCAGATTAGTTAACAGACATCTGTTGGCTAGAGCTGGAATTGCAAGCCAGGGCAGAGGTCATTTCTGGGGTCTTGTAGGACTTAGGGGACTGAGGAGCTCAGAGGAGAGAAAGGAAACTTGTGGCGGGAGGCCTCCGGGAGTGGATTGTGGACTTCACCATGCGGACCCACGTCACGCCACCCGCTCATGTAGCTCCGGTAGTCAGCTCACCTCCGTCATGTCCTGCGCCAAGTGTTTTCTGGACCTGTCATGTTCATGCTGTGCCCACCTGTGGCGGCACGTGGCAGACACTGCTTGTGCTGGAGTAGTGGAGTGGAGGGCGTGTATGGTGGCATGTCTGTCTCGCCACTGCGTGGAAGTAAGCTTCTTGTGAGCCTGGGCCTCTCACACACCACTTTCCATGTGCACACAGGGGTGGCGTATACCTCGGAGTGCTTCCCCTGCAAGCCCGGCACGTTCAGCAACAAGCCTGGCTCCTTCAGCTGCCAGGTGTGTCCTCGCAACACCTACTCAGAGAAGGGCGCCACGGAGTGCGTGCGCTGTGATGAGGACTCCCAGTTTTCAGGTAGGTGGTGCACCGGCGCAGAGTTCAGACTGTCATTCACAGTCAGGAACGGGGTAACCATGGGGAGGGGGCCTAGAGGGCGGGAGTCATGGTCTCGGGTCATTCCTTCCTACTACCTGCCCTCTGATTTCTTTCTGGTCCGTGCCTCACAAGTAACTTGTGGGTCTGTTCTGCCAACTTAACACACTTTACACTTCTAGACAACTTGTTGGCGTGGAGATGTCCTTAGAATGTTTTAATTTTCTTCAAATTTCAGTGTTTGCTGGTCATGGAAGAAGGACTGTGTTTCCTGGAAGAGCCGTGATGTGCTCATGGAGACACGTACCGTCCTGGGACAAGGAAAGCGCGGGCCTTTGCTTGCCTGGGCGAGCTAGTTCTGCCTAAATTGCTTCAGTTAGGCCTTTCTACATTGCAGTTTGCATTTGGTTTGGGTTTTCGTCCTGCCCTTGAGCTGCAGAGGCAGCATCCAGTGTCTGAGGTACTGTTTTGCGTTGCAGAAGAGGGGTCCAGCGAGTGCACGGAGCGCCCGCCCTGCTCCACAAGGGACTATTTCCAGATCCACGCAGCCTGCGACGAGGAAGGCAAGGTATCCGCGACACTCCCCTGGGCTGCCCACTCAGCCTCTGCCCTGCCCACGTGCACTCAGCGCGCTTGGGGGACCTCACCCTGACACGTGTGTGCGCCGGACACAGGAGATCTCAGGGTCAGGCGTTGAGGCTGCTGTCCTGGCTTGGACTTCTGGGTGTGCTGCTTATGTGCTGTGTTAGCAGGTAATTCTATGTGTGGAAGCCTCGGCTTACCCATCTGTGCAGTGGGTTTTCATCCACGTGGTGAGACTGTATGAGAGACCCAGTGTGCAGTGCCCAGCCTGGTGCTGGGCCTAGAGGGAGTGTGCTGCTGGCACTTCTGTGTTTCGGTCATGTTTTCAGAAGTGGTAACGCCAGGAAGAGCGTGGCTTTAGGTTGTGTCCTGTAGCTCCAAGGATGCAATATCTTGTCACTTTACCTGATTGCTCAGGCTCTACCCATGAAAGTCATGCAGCCTAGCTAATTCAGATAGCACAGATCACTGTGCAGTGGCACTGGGAAACGTGTGGCCGTCTCCACGCAGAGGACACCTGGCCTGAGGAGGGACTGAGCCCTGAGGACACCTCCTGACCGTGCAGCTCGCCTGCACTGGCCACGTCACCACAAAACAGCTGAAAGGGTTAAACGTGGCCGTTCCACTGTGCTCTGTATGTGGGCTCTCACCCTGGGAATAGTGACGCTCTAGACGCAGTGTGGGAGCTCCAGACAGGTATTAGGAAGATTCAGGCTTAGCTGTGCATCCCTGGGTTCTCATCTATATCTTTATTTTATATTATTATTAATCATAAGGAGTATTCACTTGAATCCTTAAGACTAAGCACATTCTAGTGTGAAGTAGAGAGAACTGTTAACTTTCAATATGAAAAGTAACTCAGACTAACAGCTGTTAGCTGGCAAGGAACTGTAAAATAAGGTCTCAGCCTGACAGTAGTGACCAACCAAAGGTGCTTTTCCTTGAGAAGTGCACGTGGGCAGGGCTCACCAAATTGGGTTAGAAAGTCATTTGGTATTTTTTCAGCTGAACATTTTTCAGTGAAACTCTCCTCATTAATAGGTAATAAAAACAAAATTTAGTTTATTCCATGTGATAATCGCTAGCTCCACATTTCTGAGACTCGAATGACATCCAGTATGTGGAAGCATTTCATCTGAGCTAGCATGGAAAGAAACAAGAGCTGTGTTACACTGTGTCAGTGTACCTGTGTAGATGTGCACAGGTTCGTGCACAATTCAGTATTCAAGGTTTTCTAAAAAAAAATCTATTTCTTTCTTTCTTTCTTTGGTACAAGGTGTCAGTACGCAGCTCAGACTTGTAGTGACCCTGCTGTCTCAGCCTCCCCAGTGCTGGGTGTTTCAGTGGCTGGCTTGGTGCGGGGCCAGCACAGCATGCGCTAGGTGCCACATAGGGAACCCGTGGCCATTGTGCTTAGACCGGCACACTGTCTCCCCAGCTCCCTGTATGCAAGGTTTAAACCCAGCTCGACACAACCAGTGTCAGTGGTACCAGGCAAGTGCCCCTCCCGGCCAGGCTGTTCCTTTTTGTTCTTTTTTCCTTCAGTGTGTTGAGCGCTGCGGTGATAGCATGTGCCACCAGGCCCAGCTTGGGAAAGTGCTTTTCAAGAGAGTACGTGATGTAACCTTGGGAGGGTGTTTGATAGGACTTCTCATGGTCTCCCTGTGAAGGTGACTGTGAGTGGGGGGCTGGATGACAGGCTTAGGCAGGGGCACAGCAAATCGAAGCCCTGAATGTGAGATGTTGGCTGAGTGGCTAGATATGGGGTAGAAATGTGTGTGGGAGCTCAGATTTGCCGTAAGAACATAGACATAACAAGTTATATAGGGCCCGGGGTGATAGCTCAGTAGAGTAAGCACTTGCCTGGCAAGTGCAGGGTCCTGAGTTCAATCCCCAGTACCACAAAAAACAAACAAGCCCCTCAAAAACCAAGTTATATATATCTTAACACATATAAGGAAAAATAGGAATTAAGTACCTCATTTTCAAAATCTTTGATTTCACGACGATGTTAGGAAAATAGGAAATTGTGGGTTCATAAA